GAATGTATCGCATACACACAACTGGGGTGTCTCTGGTGCAACCCTAAATGACCTGCATTGCTGCGTTCTGTATGCGCTCCAGTTTATCCATCAGACTTTTTGAGATTGTAAGCAGTCCCAGGCCATAATCAACCACTGACAGGATCAGGTGACGATATAGTGTGCAAAGCATTCTCTGCTCTATGTCAGCCATAGTCTTAAGTGCACTAAGTCTTTTTTGGCATCTTGTCACAACACTCTCCACATGGTCCTTGACAGGCTCCTGTCAAATGTAATTCCCAGATACTTCAGTTTGCTCTCTCTGTTGACGTCTCTACCATCTATCGCAAGACTTGGAACATTAGCTTTAACGATTCTGTTGTGTAGAGAACACCACAAAACAGACGCCTTTTCCGAGTGGACGACAGCCCTCATTTCTGTACACCACTCAGTCACTTTGTCTACTGTCGCTTGTAGTTCCCGGGCTGTTTGTTCCCTCTTTTCCCCCTGCCTATATGCAAGTATATCATCCGCAAAAGTCAGTATCCTTCTAACTTCTGGTGCTTCTAGTCTTGCAATCTTGCTCGTATACACGTTAAAGAGCAAAAGCGAGATGGCGGATACATGTGGCGGTCCTGGGGCCAAACTGCATGGTTTGGAGATCTGTGAGCCCAGTCGGAAAGCAACCCGACGTGAATACAGTACAGCTGCAACCCAGTTCACTAGCCATGGACTGACCTCTTTCTCCTTCAGTGCAGTCATCAAGATGACGTATCTCACTCTGTTATAAGCATCCTTGAGATCCAGTGCTACCGCCATAGTTTCCTGTCTGTTCTGGAAACCTTCATAAACGTCAAAAGCAAAAGTGGCCGCATTTGCCCATGTGTCCTTTCCTGGCCTGTAGCTTCCCAGACCTCTTAGGAGAAGCTTACCCCTTTCCAAAAATGTGTGCAGCTTTACAGCAACTATCTTCTCTGAGACCTTCCCAAATGTGTTTTGTAAGGGGATGATTCTAAAGCCACTGAGCTTTGAATGATCCTTAGAAGGTTTTGGTAGTGGGATTAGATAGCAGTGCACCCAGTCCTGCGGTACTGAAGCTGTCTTAATGCTTCGGTTAAAACAGTCAGCCAGGTCTACCTCGCTCAAAGCCTTTTTATGGCCATACCTGACACCATCAGGCCCTGGTGCAGTGTCCTTTGCTGTTTTCAAAATTTGTTTTATATCTTCTACTTGCATCATGTCTTCATAATGCATATTCTTTAAGGTGGCAGCTAACTCCTTTCTAATTGCATCCCTGATGTCTACATCATTATGTTCTGTCTGAGCTATAAAAATATGGAGAAAAGCCTTCCTTTCTCCTTGTTTGTTGTCATACGCACATAATCTCTACAAATTGTTCCGACAGTCATTGGTCGATCTTTTTTTTTTTTTTAATCTGCCTTTGCAGTTTCTAGAATTTCCCCAATGTTTTATCGCCTCCCACATCATTCACAAAAGTTCCCCACTTTGATCTTTTGGTTTCTGCAGTGCAGCGCTTGAAAGCTTCCACCTTATTTTTTTTCACATTCTCCGCCATCTCCACTTCCTCTCGTGAGCTTGAGGGTGTCTGTCGTACTTTCTTTAGCTGCTTCACTGCTGCTCTCTTTGCTTCTACGCCTGTTCTACTTCTGGAGTCCACCATTGGCGCTGTAGAAAATTAGTACTGGCAGTTCTGTTGCATGCTCCCTGTCTGAGGCGTCCGACCTGGCTGTTGGTCCACTTATCCCGGAAGGTCTCGGGTGCTCTCCCAGCCTTAACCTTACTGAGTTTAGAAATCAGGACTGAACATGGTAGGTGATCACTTCCATGGACATTCAGGACAGTCAATTTAACATCTAAAACCGACGACTGGAAGACAAATGTCAAGTCAATGGCTGTGTCTGCATCGCGAGACCTCATTGCCATTCTAGTCGGCCCCCAACCCCCACCCCCCCCCCCCCCCCCCAAAAAAAAATATCCGATCTCCTCTTGAGTATGTCTCCAAGTGTTTTTTAGGCTAACAAGTACTAACAACTCCCATTCTGTTCTGGCTGAAGCAACGACGGGTGGCTCCGACTGGTTTTCCTGTCTCGCGGCTCCAACTGGTGCACACAGCCTCTTCGGAGAAGCTGGCTGAACGTGACGACCGCCCCCCCCCCCTTCACCCCCTCACCAGTAAAGAACCTACCTATCTAGTGGCGTAGGAAGCGTGGAATGCGGGTGCCGACCGTGGTGTCGTCACTGAAGAAGTGGGGGAAAAAAAGGAGGGGGGGGGGGGGCAAAAAAATAGGGAGGGTGGATACTGCGTAATTGCAAAAAAATATGTGCATATATTGTATATGGTACTTTCAATTTAGCTCACACCAAACACGGAGTCCAATATTATAGGGGTGTTATAGTAGGGGTTAGGATTAGCATTAAGATTAGTCGATGAGTTAAAATGCAAGTACTTTGTAAGGGGGGGGGGGGGGGGGTAAAATGTTTATGTTGAATATTGCATTCAGAATCGACATCACAGCTATCGGGACACACCCGTAAACGCTTAGTCCCCATCTTTAGCAGCAAGCGAAGAGTTCCGAATCGGAAAAATATAATAATAAATGTTCAAAACTAGTTTAAAAACCTTCTCTGACAATCAGAGGCGTAGAAAGAGGAATGCGGCTGGCACCAAGTGTCATCACTGAGGGAGGCGACACAATGGGAAAATACACAGAATAAAATGTGTGTGTGTTTGTGTGTGTGTGTGTGTGTGTGTGTGTGTGTGTAGGTACTACCTGACCTTGCAATGCCGCGGATGACTACACCTCAGCAAGTTAACATGTGTCCTTGTGTGTAGGCATGCGTGCGTGTGCATACCTACTGAAAAACTGGGGAGATGTCCAGTTTTCAGCTAAAAGGTTAGTGAGATGTCCCGTTTTCAGCTCAAATGTTAGTGAGATGTCCAGTTTTCAGCTAAAAGGTTAGTGAGATGTCCCGTTTTCAGCTCAAAAATTAGTGAGATGTTCCGTTTTCAGCTCGAGATATTATACTCACCATATCTATGAGAATATATGCATGTAGAGTGTGTGTTCAGGTTTGAGTAAAAGTAAAGGACCCTTTCCACGCCTTTTATGCGTATTGGGTATATAGGGCTAGACCTATATTTTATAGACCAAACGGTCTATAATTAAGTAGTCAGCATCACGCCGACCGCCTTTACTTCCCAGGACTGTACCTGGTACCCACTCAAGGCTGGGTCCACCTGGGAGTCAAGGTCATTCTGGGAAAAAATCTGGCCCCCGGCAGGAACCGAACCATGACCTTCCGATCCGCGGGCGAACGAGGTTTAAGTAAGCAAAAGATAAATGCCTGGATGACTTAACTTTACGAATGTTGCTCTGGCCGATCTTTGATTCTAGCAGGGGGGAGTAACGAGAGGTTCTGGCAAATGCTTGACGCTCAGAAGAAAGGCAAGACGGACGTTTAATCAGAATTCTACTGGCACCATTAGTATCGGAACTCTTCACTGGCTGCTGAAGATAGAGCGCTTGTGGAAATTCCCCGAGTGCTGTGATGTCGGTTCTTGAGTCAAATCAATCAATCAATCAATCAATCAATCAGTCAGTCAGGATTCTAGTGACGTGTGAGGTCGAGAAGTACTACCACCTACCCTTATCTCCAGGATATATAGGAGTGTTTGAAATCAAAGGTGATGCGTGCGTGTAGTCTTCTCCACTCCTGGCTGCTAGCAAAATTGGCAGCCTGAGAATCTACATGGTGAAATGGTCAAGTCGTTTGCCTTAGGCTCTAAAGGTCGTGGTTTCGGTTCACGACGGCTCCATTCAGTTCAGGAATGCATTTTTTACGGAGATCCCCGTGGATCGTCATCAGAGCTACGGAGTTTTGTGCTTTATGTGACGCTTTCGACTTTATGTTTATTGTTTGATGTTAGCGTGATGTTCATTGTTTGGTGTTAACTGGCTGTTCATTATTTGATCTTCACTTGATATTCGCTGTTTGATGTTCACTTGATGTACGTTGTTTGATGTTCATAGTTAATGCTTCAATAGCCAGTACCAAGCAACAATGAACCCGTTCCATGGGCTAACACACACACACACACACACACACACAAAATGGCCGACTGTGTGTCATCGTGACATACGCTATCTACATGTCAATATTACCACTTGTAATTATTACATACAAGAATGAAAGCAAAGATACTATTTGATAACCAGAAAACAAAATGAAAACTGTCCTGCTAATATAACCAGGCCACTTTCTGTGCCACGGTTTTTCCTTTCTGAGTCCAAAATTATTGTCCTCGATTTTTTCTTTAGATGGCATGAGTATTAATGACTCTTCCACATATGGATTTTAGTTCTAGTAATTGCTTAACCTTGCCACGCAGTCTCTAGGGTTGTTTATGTGCAAAAAGTTGTCAATTGTCAAAGGTAATTTACAGACATTCATATAGTAAGTTAATAATTTTCTCTGGTTTTCATATTTCTTACCCTCAAGCAAACAGTGCTCAATATTATTGTATTTCTAGCATAGATTACAGGGTTCTTCTTGCATTTTTTCCCCACTTGCAAGACATCAACGTGGCTGCATCTGGATATGTTAGATAAGTGATTTTGTGTATTCGTGTGGTTTTGTTTGATTCATGTATGTGCTGTTGAAGGCTCTTTAGACATACCTTTCGCGTTTGGTTTGTGCTTGTTGTACCGTGAAGCTCGCTAATCTACTTTTCATTTAGTTTTATATCTTTCCATGATGTATAGTAAAGCCTCTCCTTTCAAGTTGTTGTCTAAGCTATTTACGGTTGCATGGCATTCTAAGTTCATTTGTTTTTGCTTTAGTACGATGATAATTATAAATAAGACGGAAATGTCAAATGTATCTGGCCACAAGGGTTCATAGTTTATCCAAGTCGTCTGCTATTCACCAGTGCAAAGTCTGCGCGAAGGACACGAGCAAACTTGATCAGAATTCAGTTGTTTTGTTACATCAGAAGAACAATGTATTTGCTATTCTTATCGACAATTTCTTCATTACTGCACCCAGCTGCTTCAAAAATACTTGCAAACTTTGTTATGCCACACGGCGGTATAGCTTTAGACCCCACACATTTCAATGCAACAAATTCAACTGCGCTGGAACAAGCCTGGGAAATACACCGCGCTTGCAAACAAGTAGGTGAAGAAATAGCATCGTTGAAGCCAGAGCTTATTCTACTGAGCACCCCGCATGGTATAGCAGATTTAAGGAATTTTGTGCTATACTTGAACCCTGTGGCTTCGGGATTTGCGGATACAGACAACTGTGACTGCCCGCCATGTTGTTACAACGCCACAGTTAATGTAGATACTGGGATGTCTCAGTTCATTGTTGAGGCTTTAGGGTACCAGAACAATGTATCAGGGCTTAGTGGATATGGTCCCCCAGGCCAGAGCAGTGAACCTTTTCCTTTGAGGTATATCGGTTTTAGCATAACGTATAGTATACTTCTTCTTATGTCGTTTACTTGAAATAGATTATCTGTGGATGTAGCCGACAAACACTCAGGGAAGGATGAGACGGATATACAGTCAGATGGCTACTTGTGCCATCGTAATTGGAACTCTTCGCTTGCTGCTGAAGATGGGGACAGAGCACTTATGGGAGTGTCACGAGTGCTGTGATGTTGATCCTTAATTCAACATTCAAATAGATTATCTGGCTATCTTCCGAATAACGGTCCCAAATTATCAAGGCAGAAAATATACCCTAACAGAGCCTCAGTCACGTGTCAATTGCGCAGTTCTGTCGTCTTGAAATGCGAGCTTCTGGCGACTTCCGCCGCCTCCGAATTGCGAACTTTTGACAGCCTTCGCCACCGCCGAGTGTCCCCTATGCCGCTCACGCGGCGTGTATTGCAGCTAAACTAGATGGCTAGAACTCACGAGCAGCAGCTACCGCATCTCCTGCAGCTTCCTTCATTTTATTTGCTCGTCAGTCCTAGCCATCTAGTTTAGCCCCAATCCACGCCGCTCATGCGGCGTGGTGGGCACCCTCGGCAGTAGCGGAGGTTGCAGAAAGTTCGCAATTCGGCGGTGGCGTTATAGTCCCCGGAAGTGCGCAATTGACACGTGACTGAGGCCCTGTTATGGTATATTTCTGCCTCGATAATTTTGGACCGTTATTCGGAAGATAGCCGATTATCTATATCTGCAATGATGTCTCTAGTATGAACTTCACTGTCTTTTATATATACAGTATAGTACTGTATACTGATTTTGCAGATACATTTGTAGTCTTTCTTCAGATTTATTGCTCCAGATAATATGCTTTAATAGAACTTCCTGTGAGTAATAGAAGCCATAAATATCAAGGCAGCTTATCTCACAAGAACACTTTCACCAGGATTAAAGAAAAACTGAGGAAGTAGAGATAGACGGTGAGAGAAAAGGACACAGATGATTCAGGTGTTTAGAAGTATTCATGGGAACAAGATCAACTGCACAAAGGGAATAGGGACTATGGAAAAAAAATTACTGCTAATAAGAGCTGAACATTTCAGAAGAAATCCAACATTTGATGATCCTTAATCCTATATATTTATTATGCAGTTTTAATACAATCTGGTCTTATAGTAACATTTGTCATTACCAAAGGTTTCAGTTCCCATGTTTTCATATAAAGCAATGTAACACTATCATCTAGAAATACAGAAAGCTGCCAGGTTTAATTTTGTCATCTTCTTCAAGTCAGTACAAGTGCCCCATAGCTTATTCAAGATTCAAGCTCAGAACTCTATCCATCTTTGTTAGTGCAGGTCTCTATAAGTTGGGCACTCCTGAAGGATGTGTTTCAGATTCTGAATTCTAATTCACATGGACATTTGATTGTATGGGAGACTTTGGAATGGTGTAGATGACAAAGTAGGTTCCAGACCTTAGATAAGAAGGTAGTTTGTTTTTACCTCTGAAGTTGGTAGATTTAAATTCCCTGTGGTCGTTCTGTGACCCCATTGTGGAGGAAGCAAGAATGGACCCCTTGCCCCCCAAACAGCATGCCACAGGACTCAACTAATTGGGGACATCCTTCAAAGCCTGAGAATATCTGCCTGAGAGGCAAGGAACCAAGAGTCTGCATACAAGTAAGCCAGCTGTGTGAAACAGATGGGCACACATCACTCAGTTCTGAAACAGGTCTAAAATCCTGAAGGTAGAGGAACACCCTGAACTTTCCACCAGAGTCTACAGCTGGTGAACATGAAGAAGAAGGTAGAAGGAAATAGGTATATTGTTAAGGGATATATATATATATATATATATATATATATATATATATATATATATATATATATATATATATATATATATATATATATATATATATATATATATATATATATATATATATATATATATATATATATATATATATATGCTGTGGAATCAAGTTTTGACTTCCATTCTACTTCTTTGAATCCAGGATTCAGCCCTGTAATCCCAAGTTATCCCAGAGTGGAAACAAAGTCATGGAGAGAATTAACGCTGAAATTTTGAATGCTACTGTGCGCTTATTTAGTTTTAATAAACCGGATGTCAGCATGTCTTGAAACCCTCAATACATTCTATTATAAACTAATCAGGGCATTTGAAGAATAGCGGAACATCTCATTGTCTTATTCAACCTATCATTTCCTGGCTCTAAAAAAAAATTAAGCATCTGTTTATACTAAAGTAAATCTTTAGCGATTGAGCTATCATGGAATGTGTTTACCATCTGCACAGTCTGTGGCGACAACACTAGCCTTGCGGCCCTAAATCCTTATGCTTAAAGACCCTGCCGCAGAAGTTGTAAATACAGGCAGTAATTGGTAATTGGCAGGCACCCTTTAAAGATATTGTTTTTAAAAATATTCTCATATATACATGTTGCAATGTCTGGATCCCCATAGGAACTGCTGTAATAAAGTCATATTGTTGTAGACACCACATGCACCATTTACATTTAATGTTAACTTTTACTTTTTGTTTAATTATGTTTTTTTTAAACAGAGGTTATGATGTCTGCCTCTAACTCAAGCAGACCTGGTGCAGATAGTTTTAACTCTTTCAATACAAGAACAATGGGGATCCTTCCCCTTAGATCGTTGGGGTCATGGTTTTGACACAGTTAAAAAACTCGTCTGCACGCTAGACAGGGGAAATATTCCTCAGCTGATGCAAAATGTCCAAATTAGATAAAGCTACGCACATATGCGTGCACTTGCACACAAAACAATTGCCTTGGCTCCCAGCTGTGTGTGATTCTGGTTTGCACACACATTACTCCTGGCTGGTGTCAAGAATCTCTTTTATGTGCATTTCTAGGAAAGAAGCACAGTTATAAAGCACTAGTTTTAATATTTTATATCATTAAAGATGTTTACCGATTATTGCTAGTAAATGAAAAAAATACAAATTAAAGTTAGGATGAAGTCCAGGCACTGCGCTAAATACTTCTTGTGCAGTCTATAGAGGAAACCTGAGTACACTTAAAGGCACATTTTATTAATGCTTACCATTGATATATACATACATATTTAGTGCTTATCGTTGAGGAATTGTTTTTATATTGTTATATTTTTTTTTTTAATTTGAATGCAAATTGTAGGTGGGGTGAAGTTATCCCATTTCATTTCATGCCTGGGCTGAATGAATCCAAGGTTGTCATCCTCTCTCACCCCAGTCGTCGATATTCAGAGGATGTGGAGATGATTCCGGAACTTCTCAAGTTAGGTCTGACATTTGTGTGCATATTTGTCTGTGCGTTCAGTAACTGTTCACTGTGAGCCCAGAAATATTACCAGTTTACAAAAATATACGTTTTTCTTTGTCTTCTATATCTGATTACTTCACATGCAGTGCAACAACAATTAGAATGGTTCAGATATGTTGTAAGAATACAGCACCCCTGAAAATGCCAAAACTTACAATAATATGGTAAAATCTTGTTGATAATTTCAAGGAGATGAAAAACTCATACTTGTTAGTTTAGTTAGTTAGTCAACAGATTTTCCTCATTGCACATTAGGCAACAAAAATAATGGTCAGATCCCATCTTCAGTATATCCCTCAGCATGTGGCAACTGATAACACCAGTTCTGTGTTGGTTTACTATTTTTTGGGGGGCTGTCTATGTAATGTTCGTGTTTGGGGACACCTATTTTTACCCGAAGTTCTTGTAGTTTATTTTCAGTGCTGCCGATTCAACGCCATCTCCTATTTCATCTTCTCGTCCTGCCTTCTTGAGAGCACTGAGAATGTTGGTTCAGTCCATTGCTTTTCCTGTACCCACTGTGGCCCTGTCAGCAAGTCAGTCCACTCATTCATTTCCTCTTACTCCAGAGTGTCCTGACACAAAAATAAAACAAATTTCTGTCAGACAGAATTTCCTCAACAACTCCAACCATTTTTTTCAAGTATATCCTGTCTCTTTCTTCTTAAGCATGCTCATGGAATCACTTGGAAAGCATGCATGTGAACAATTAGGTGTGTGTAGCCACATCATTGCTTTTGTTACCACTGTCACCTCCATAGTCAGACCTTTTAGTCAAAGCAAAAGCCATGCTATCTTCTTTTACAGTTTTTCCCTCGAACCAGAGCCGTGAAAGCCCATCAACTTTGTTTATCTTAACTTGGAACTATTAATAATACATCCCTGCCAGGACAGAAATTTTGTTCATGTTAACCAAGTTGTCTTCTTTAGTGAGTTTGTGTTAACAACATTTTACTGTAGTAACTCTGGCTGTACTGCTAGAGTTGGACCAACGGTCAGATGGGCAGACCCTGACACATGTTATAGTTAGTTGCATATTCCTGTCCAAAGTGGAGGACTAGGCATGGCAGAATGTTTAGCTTCAAAGTTATTTTTGCTTCCAACAATGCTTTGCTAATGCAGTTTCCACATATGGAGGAAAGTCTACGGTTGTGCTGCCTAAGCTGCTGAGTTAGTGCTTGATGCAGCCCTGTGAGCTGTGTTTTTTATGTAGGATGCCTTTCATTTGTGCAGCGGTTGTGTCATGTTACTCAATACTGCCATTAGTTGGTTTATGTATGGGTTAGTGAAACACCTTATGTAATAATTTTACGTGTTTATAGCCAGCTTATTGTGACAGAGTACTTCCATCAATGACAAACTGCATTTCTGGTGGCGACTGTTGGCTTTGGCACCTCTAGCAACTGCCATATGCATTTACTGCCTGCGCATATTTCTGGGTTGTGCCGGGGCAATTGTTTGTTCACCAGTTTTTCCAAAGGAATAGTGAGGAACATTTCCTTTTATTTTCACTGCTACCAAATCACCTGCAGCTGAATTTGAACAAAGGTATTGCAGAAATGTTAAACTGCTCACAATTTCTAAACAACAGATGCCAAACTGATAAAAATATACTAAATAAATTCACTTACCACAGAGGCAGTACATTTGACTTCAGTTGGAAAAGTATAATATCACTCAACTCTTAATAGAAAATGTGGACCATAAGCAAATGTTCAGACTGAACATTTCACATGTTCTACAGCTTATTTGTCATGTCTCACATTATCTCTTTATGTATATATATTGTATGCAGCCAAAAAGTGAAGGTATGGTGATTTAGTAGTGTAACAGAATGATCTTACATGGTTAATATGTTGTGTGCATATCCATTTTACAGATATAGCTTAATTGTTTGCAGACTATTGGTGCCTCAATTCTCAGGCAGATGCACTCTGACTTCAAGAGGAAATACCCCAATTAGTCGGCTTTTGCGACATACTTGCTAGGGAGGCTGTGGGTCTATGCTTTTTCCCCCACAGTGTAGCCCAGAACACACACAGAGATCTAACATTTAAATGTTTGGCTATAATGCAATGAATTAATATATAATTATAGTGAAGGTGCAGGGAAAGAGATGAATGCAGTCTGTGACATATATTGACTGCTATTATTTAGGTCAGCAAATCAGAGTGATCAAGACTCTACTGTATTTTCACGAAGGGAGACTCTGTAGTGAGGTGGATAAGCTGTTTGCCTTTTGTTCTGAAGTTTGTATGATGGATTTGATATGTGTTGGGCCAAAAGGTACAAATCTCCCAGTCTAGCTGTAAACCACAATAAAAAAGGCCAACTGCTCTTTTAAGTGTGAAAGCAGAAGAAGAAGAAGCAGTTTACACATGTAGATGTTTTGAGATTCATAGAGGTTGTCTCAGGAACTATGAACTCTCATGCTTTGGGACTGGGCAAAATAAATACCTGAAACAATGATAGTTAAAATTACTGAATTCTGGAATGACATAGCAAAGTAGACTATTGGCAGAATAGTGTTATTTCTGTTATGGCACTTTCAGGGTCTTCATTGTACAGCATCCTTGAAACTTCTTCCAAAAGAGTTGTCATTGTAATCAGCGCTGATCTGGCTCACACACATTCAGCATCAGGTCCATATGGTTACTCTAATGCATCAGAACCTTTTGATGAGGTATTTGTTTACATTTGCCTCTTGGGGTTGGGGGAGTTGGTGGGGAACTGTCTGTGTATTTCGATTCCTTTCATTCTGTCTCTCTCTCTCTCTGTCTGTCTATCTGTCTGTTCTCTATCTCTCATATTCTGTATCTTTCCCTTTGTATATTTTATCAGCTTTTTTTTCCCTCTGGTCTGCTGTGTGTGCTTCAGTAAGGGCACTTTAAAAATAAAAATAAAAATAAAGTGATAGCAGATAGAAAACCATTTATTTTTACACATTCATGTCCAATTATGTTTCAACATAATTTTCACCAATATTGATGCACATGTCCCATCATTTTATAAGTCCTCCCAAACCTACTACATAGAACTGCATGCTCTGTTTTATAAACCACATTTTCACTTCACATTCAACTTCTGCATCGTTCGCAAAAAGTCTCCCGCCAAGGTGAGTTTTCAGTGGATCAAAAAGGTGGAAATCACTAGGGGCTAAGTCAGGACTGTAAGGTAGATGTTCCAAAAGTTCTCACCCTAGATGGTTAATTGTCTCCTGAGTTAACCGAGCTGTATGTGGTCTGGTATTGTCATGAAGGAGCAGTACTCCTCTAGTCAGCAGGCCCGGATGTTTTCTTCAAATTGTATAATTAAACATCTATAGAACATTTGTCAGCATAAACAGGAAGCATTTCTTATGCAGGCAGCCCTTCTGTCCCCCCCCCCCCAAATGCACAACAGCACGTTCTTTGAAGGTACACTCCGTAAGTACTGTTGCAATTTTATTTCTGTGTTGCGAATGAGCATGCAACACCTAGCACCACCTAAAGAACGGAGACATAAAGTTTGATGTTGCTGTCATCTAATGACACCTTTAGAAACTACCAACTACATTTTCCTGCCACCCCATAACCATTTTTGACTTACTTATTGACTTTCCCCCATATATATCAGGTGTTTTGTTTTTGAAATTTGTGAACTTAATTATTTGAAAGAAATGTACACATGTAATGTAATATTTAATTATTCAATTAAAGGCATGTGGCAAATGGGCCACATCATTACAGCCTGATTACCTGTTGACGACAGCTGCATCTCTGGTTGATCAAGCTCTTTCCTGTGGCTATACTGGCCTGGTAACTCTTCATGGGCTTATGGAGGTCAGTCTAATACATACACAAAGTTAACGGTTGGTTGGTTATGAATTTGCTGGATGATTGAGGGTTAAAGTAAAGTTAAGGACTGTCTCTATCTATCTCATACAGTGAAAACATTGATCCTTTTTTGTTAGAACACTTATTCTTCTTCCCATTCAATGGCTCCAGCAGAAAGTTCTGGTTGTTTATTTACCTTTGAACTTTAATCAGAATATCTTGGACAAAGAAGAGGAGAAATACAGACATCTTGAAAGATCTGAACATCAAGGAAGATTAGCTAATAAACAGCATCCTGTCTCGGAAG